TTCTCTTCCTTAGTTAAAATGCTGTCTGTGACAGTGAAATATTCCAATGTTTTGTGAACATAGTACGTAGTTTTGTGCTTTTTGAACTCTTTCTCATTCAGGTAAGCCTGCAATTTTCACAAAAAAAATCCAAAAACTTTACACTATTAGGCAAAACTAGAATCTTACTTTATCTAATACTCTGATAAACGTAAGGATGTTTGAATTTGGAAGAGAGATGTCTTGGCAATAAATGAATATCGGTACTGTATTATGTTTGTGTTTTTGAAACCAGAGTGGACAGACTTCTGACTTTGGTAAGTCTGCTATCCTAACCAAAGTCCTTATAGTTTGCAACAACCTTTCTGCTTGACTTGGTTATGTAATAAGGTTGGTACCTATGATATTATAAATCAGTAAACTTAATTAATTGGCAGCAGTGCAATCTGTTGGAGACTCAATTCATATAACTTTGTTTTCATTGTAAATTTGGCTTCAACTTTATATAAATAGCTTATTCCCTATATGGGAAATTCGCTAAAATGGAAAAGTATCAATCTATCCATTAGTAAAAAGGTTTAAAATGCTTGGACAAAGGCATACTGACAAGGGCGGCATTTCAGATGAGTTTGAGACAAAGACAGGTTTAAGACAAGGATGTATAGGAAGTCCTCTCCTGTTCAGCTTATTCGTAAATGATTTGCCAGAGGTGCTGGAAGGTGGCTGTAATTTCGGTGGAAAGAGAGTAAATGTTTTGATGTATGCAGACGATATCGTATTGTTGGCCCCCACAACAACAGCATTACAAATGATGATTAAAAACTTGGAGTGTTACAGTTCAATTTGGAACCTTAAAGTAAATATATCCAAATCCAAAATAATGGTTTTCAGGAAAGGTGGTAGATTATCGGGACATGATAGATGGTGGTATAAGGGCAAACAGGTTGAAGTGGTAGATAGTTATAAATATTTGGGAATGTTATTTACAACGACATTGTCATGGGAAAAACATTTCATAGAGAAGAGGAGGCTAACTAACTATGCAATTAATTCAGTATGGCAAAGGCTAGTAGACAACAACAAAGTCCCGCTGCAGATTAAAATATTATGCTTCGAATCTATTCTCAGAGCTATTTTGTGTTACGGCGCACAAGTTTGGGGGTTTTCAGAAATTTCTCAGTTAGAAAATGCTCAGAAAACGTTTATTAAAAGGATGTTTAGATTGCCACATAACACTCCCAACTATATTGTTTACTTAGAAACATGTTTTGAAAAGTTGTATTTCTTTAATCTACAAATTAACGCAACATACATTTTTAAGGTTTTTAATATGCCAGAATCACGCCTACCAAAAATTATTGCTAAATCTGTAATTGGAAAAGGTATTTTTTGGGCCAAAGAGTGGAAATGTCTAGGGCGAAAACACGGTTTGGATATTAATTTCGAGTCAGCAGATGTTTTTGAGGGATTAGTGAAGATAATTGAGGCGGAAAGAGATAGCTGGAGAATTGATATGGTTGGCAGAGCGCGTACATCGCAATATCACCAACAACTGCTTGCCGTTGACCTTGACCTAGGGCCCAGGAGTTTTCTCACTGATAGCATCAATATAAGTCTTATCTCATGGGTCATTAAGGCCCGAGCAGAGCTGGTTGATTTGAATCACAAACCATGGATAACGAATAAAAATCATTTCTGTAGTTTGTGCAATTTGCGTGAATTTGAAACAGTTTTTCATTTTGTTTCTAATTGCCCAATTTTAGGTGATATCAGGGAGTATTGGTTTGGAAAACGAAGCATGCATTGGGAAGAACACATAGAATACATAAATGGTAGGGATTGGCGTAAATTAGCAAACTTTATGAGGGAGGCGTGGAGAAGGAGGTGGGAGTTAATTAGAGAATTTAATTACGAATAAATTAAATGATTTTGTTTTTCAAATTCAAAATTGTTTTATTATCTTTCTAATTTATAAATTAAATCAAAACAATAATTATGTCAAACAACTTGTCAGCCTGTCTTCTTGAATATTCATAGTAATTTTTATAGTTTTCATTATGCGTAAACCTTTTAAATTCTAATAATTTTAAAAATAAAATAATAAAAGTTATGTAAACAATATTATGAAAAAGGTATTTTTTTTAGTTTTGTTGAAAATGGATGTAAAATTGTATGTAAATTTTTGTACGTTAGTAAGTGTATTTTGCTTCAACTTAATTTTCATAAATGTGTTTTCCAGGTGTGCCAACCAAACAGACGGTCATAGACCATTGTTTAATTAAGTGTATGCTTATGTTATGAGAGGAATATTTATGTTAAAATAAAGCACTTTATTCATTCATTCATTCATTCATTCATTCAAGGCATACTGACAGTAAATATATGTTTCCATAGAAACTATTTATTTTATTCATTCACTGCCACAGTAAATGAATACAACATGAAATTTTTCCTCCTGTAAAAATTATTTTGAGGAAGAATACGGATTCAAGAAAGTTACGTCTATTTGCTCCAATCCAGGAGGGTACTAGGAAGAATTCTTCTGTTCTTGGGACTATTGCTAGGTACTTATGAACTAGCAGAGGACACTATAGTAAACAACCAAGAAGCAGCTTCTAAGGAAATGGGAGGTCGTAACTACAAGGAGACCTGATGTTGTATTGCTTCAGTAAAAACAAGGATCCACTTAGTAGAAAGGATTGTTTAGAGTAAAGAGCCAAAGGATTTTCCACGGAAAAATGTAAAAAAAAACATGATGGACTGTAGGAGATTAATGCAATCATGGAAGAGGAGATTGAATTTCTGAGGAGAAACTTCAAGAGGAAGAAACATTGTTAGCCGATTGATGACAAGTCCCGAAGAGGATTAAACAAAGTAGTCTATGACATAGAACCAACTCGTTAGTGTTAAGTATACCACGTATCTTTTAAGTACCTATTGTTAAGTATCTTTTGTACCTGGTCTTAGTATTTTATGTATCTGGTAATAAAGTATCCGTGCGCTTTCCTACTTCAGCGTATACGGAGCGTCCCCTGGGTGGCGGATAGGGGGAAGGTCGGTGGAACTGCTTGTCAGTCCTCCCGGCTAGGTCCGATGGACCCGCTGACCAGAAGTAGGTCCTCCATTCACATTGGGGGTTGAGGCGATGGGCTAACCACCCTCCCTTGTAAAACAACCCTGGTTACCTGGAATACCTCGGACAGGATGGATCACAGTGGACAACAACCTTAGCTGCGCCATTAGACGCTCCATGTTGGCGTGAGGACACAATAAAAAACACTCGGCACCAATATCAACCACCTGTCTCAACAAATGCCCATAGGCAAAAACCAAAATGCTCCTGAATGGTGAAGTACACCTCTATCGAATCCAACCGGTCGGACCCCTCTCCACTGCTCTTTTGAGGCTACAATGAACCAGTCTCGATACTTATTGAATGGAGGGTGTAGGTCACTTTGGAACTAGTAGTTAGTGAAATATACTATTTCTGAAAGAAGTTGTTATTAGTTTGTATTGTAGCACTTTTTAAAAGCTGTCTTTGCACCAGATTTGCAACAAATAGTTCATAAAATCTTTTAACAACATATGTTTTAACATTTTTTTGCAAACTCCCAACACTTGTCTAAGAGACAGCACAATGGATGGTTCTAAATGTCAGAAAAATAGATTAGCCTATTATAAAATAGCCTCACCCTTTTTATTTTTGTTTATTGGGTTTTTACCACTACTGTATTTTTGAAAAGATTGAATTCAAAGTTTGTAATTAAATTTTAAGTCCTTTTTCGATGAGGCAAACAACCATTTAACTATGAAATAATAAAAAAAATTGTTCAGGTAAAATCAGTGAAACTTTATTAATTAAATGTTTCATGTAATAGGAATTTGTACCTATTTGTAGTTAGGAGAAATACAACACACCAGATATTATAAAAAAGATATTTATTACTACCGTCATAGTATCACTATACATAAGAAGGACGAAAACAAACACAGTAAAAAATCACAAAATACATAACTTACCCTTGGTACCAGAGTGTGATTACAACCTATTGAAAGTTGTTCATAATCAAATTTTCCAACATGGAAAAAATTTTATTGTAACAGATCACTGATGAACTAGTACAATTTTAAATTGAACTGTATTTGAAGTAGTTGTTCAAAAGTAAAAACATTTAAGTGGATACATTAAAATATGGTGCATAAAAATCAAATATTTAAAAGTCAGAGTTTAAAAATCTACAATTTTAATTAAGAATTTAAATTTTAGCATTTAATTAAAAGAATTAAAATAAACAGTGTTGACAATGAAAATTTTACAAGATTGATGACTGTCAACGGGTAAAATAAATGCCAAGTTATTCCATTGTAATGATCTAAAACAGCAAGGTGCTTGCAGTTTTTCAGATACTAACTTGGGGAAAGGATTGAAAGTGGTTAACCTCTGCTCATTTCATCAAAGAGTATTTATCCTATATTATACTTGCGTATTAATTTTTAAACTGCTAATACTGAAATGTTGCAGTACATTAAGTAGTAAAAGATCTATTATAAACTCAAAGCTTGATTTCGTGCAAAGTTCTACTTGTGAATCTTAGCCGGTTGGGAAAAGGACTTAAAAATGTGTGAATCCCATAGAAGACGATAGCTCAGTAGCGTATTGTTTTTAAAATAAAAGCTAGGCAATGCTGGTTTTAGACTAGCCCTCTGCACACCAAAGTGAATTATACCAGGAATAGAGCTAGTCTTATGGTAGAGCGCAGAACTTCGGTCGCTGAGGTTTCGGTTTAAAATCCCCTACCAATGGATTTTATCTAAACTATAATGCCACACCTTCTAGACCTTGAAGTAAAAGGGATGCTAGTGGGACATGAAAAAAATTGATTTAAATCACATCGGTACTTTATACTGAATAGACTCTTAATGTGTAGCAAAGCTCTTAATGAGGGGCGCTTAGTTGTGGATGGGCAACGTTTAATGCAAAATTAAAAGAGGCCACCAACCTCTTATAAAAAAAAAAAAAAAAAAAACAGAACAATAAAATGACAATGGGCAGGTGAGGTTTTTATTGCAAAGCATTTCCATGTTTACTGGTTGAGCCACAATAGCAAGTTACATGGCAAAGACAAATGCCAAACCTTTCCTCAAGTTATGTACATCTAATATATTTCAATTTTTGTTAGACCTATGGTTCTCAAAAACTGTCCGCTTAGTACACAATTCTTCTCAAAGTTTGAAATATTGGGTCTCCTCTGTAAAATTAACTAATAAAGCTGTGAAAGATTAAAATTATCATACTTTTTCATTTCCAGCATTATTTATGACAAAAATGTCCTTTGTAAATATTCTTGATTCAAAACAAAACAGTAAAAAATACATGGTAAGTTTAAAGGAGCTTTAGAAACTCATTTATTTAACACAAAATATTAAATACTATTATTCTACTAAACAATGGAATGAAACATGTAGAGCTCTGTTCTGATCAGTTAAGCTTTTCTTATTTACTAAATGCTATTTAATGATAAAACAAAATAAGTACCGGTAACAAACTCACAATGACTAAATAGCATGCAAGTACAGTTCGGCATGTAAAAGACAATGTTTATAAAATCCCTTCAGTTTAAATTTTTTTATTTACTTTTAAAATTTAATTGTTACAGTAATCGTTACTGACGATGAAAAATGAGCACCAGTTAAACATTGATGTTGAACAATTACACTTTTGCTACACATTTTCATGATTCTTAACGCTGTTGAGGTACTTTCAATTGTTTAATTTCTAGACACATTTGAAATAAATTAAGGACAGTCCACTGTTTGTTCACATCTACTTTTTCTTTTTCTTGGGTGTTTTTTGATCTGGTGTCTGTCCGCTGACATTTTCACTTTTCCGTTTCCCACTACCTCTCGGCGCTCTCTTCTTTTTCTCTGCTCTCTCCTTCTCTTCTAATTCTTGGTTCTCTCTCTCAATGAGAGTGATAAGCGTATTGCACCTTCTTTGAAGCTCCATCGCCGTTCTTGACTTGATGAACCAGTCAAATCGGAACTGCGGGGCACATCTGTATACAAAGATTATAAGAAATTATGTTTACCTTCCAAAAAGACAAGATTTTATAATCCTACCTCCTACCTTTACATCTTTGCACATTAAGATCTAGCCAGGAATTGTTTTTCACGTTACTTCAGGCTTGGCCTTTCACAGATGGATTTAATGAAATTGAACGAAGAAAATCTTAACTTAAATTTTCTTTTACTTACCTGACAGCAGCTCTGAGCTCTTCATAGACATTTTCCTTGTCAAAACCAAGCTTATGAAGCATACAGACAAGGAATCTGTCTTCTTCTTCAATAAAATTCTTTCCTTTGTTGGTGCCATATGCAATCCTCAGCTGATGGAATGGAGCTCTGTATCTTGCCATCTGTAAAGAAAACAAATGTTATTTATGCACAAGTTGAAACCAATTCTTCATCCATTTAATTTCTCAGACATTTTATACAGGTAATAAATTACTGTCAAGAATGCTTTTGATATTTAAAATATAAATATTTAAATTTAGTTATGAATATCAATGAAGTTTGTTAGGCCTATTGAAGAGAATGTGTTGGGTGTATAGGTAATTACAAAAAAAGAAGTTATGTTTTTTGCCAGAGTTATTAAAATCTAATTATGTACCTAGCATAAAATATTTTCACCTGAGAATAAAGGTGTAAACCTTGACATCAATGACAATCAAACAACAAAAAGCTTTGACAACACCTTAACACTCAATGGACAATATTATTTGCCTGGGATGAAAATACTTAAGATCCTGATCTATTATTTTGTTAACATAGACTTTTTGAATCCAAGGACTTGTAGTAGGGCGGACAATGTTATGTAACATTATATTTTACGTTAAATATATGTTATGTTATATTTGAGGATAAATGACTGTTTAGGTTTAAATTCTGTCATGGTTTTTCCTTTTTTAAGGTAAATTTTCCTGCACAACAATGTTGATAGAATAACATAACAACTATACAAAAGGAAAATACTTTATTATGCCGTAATACACAATCAAGTGGCAATGACGGTTCAAAGCACAAATCAAAGCGAATGTATATCGTTCCAGAAACAAAACTAGATATATTTCTTAAGTAAAAATAACTCTTTCTAGGTATGTGGAACAGTGCTAGTTCCTCCTCTTTAAGTACATTTCAATCACTTAGCACAAGATTTAAAACATTCGGTCATTGTTTGACCTGAATAAATGAAAAATACATACATCACCGACCTTAGCGTCAAGGGCTTTTTTGATGCTGGCCCGGCGCTGTATCTTGGCCTCGCCTCGCTCTATCTGGGCCATGATCCTGTCAATGTCCTGCAGCTCGTGACAACGGTCCCAGAACACCCGGCTGTACTGCCGCACCTCCTCCGGAGTTTTGCCTGTCAGTCAACATTGTGTTCATCAGAAATGTGATATTAATGATGTTTTAATTACTGTAGACTCCCTCTAGTTTAGATCTGTGATTTTGGTCCGACTTTGGATGATTTTGACTATGGATGCTTTTAACTATGGATGGTTTAGAATTTAGGAGATTTTGACTATGGATGGTTTTGACTTTAGATGATTTTGACTATGGATGTCCCAGTCTTATTGTCTGCAAGTACTCGGGGATAAGGAGTAATACTGTAGAGGTTGAGGAGAGGGAGGAAGTAAGGACCAGGCTTGGTACCTAGCTTAATACACTCTGCAACAACTGAAGCTACAGAGTTTTTTAGTTTGCCAACAGGCTCACGGTGTTGCAAACAACACCCGATTAGAATAACAAGTGTCTTATGTACAAATTCCAAACAGGTAAGTCAAGAAATCGGGACTGCCTGGTTATCAGGTGCAGAGTTTAGTATTAATTAGTTTTTTATTTGCTTCTGATGGCACACAAATTTTAGTCAGATAAGAGGGAGTCTACAAATTAAAATGTATAATAAATTTGTTGTCAAACTATTTATACTACAACTTCGTTGATCTTAAACCAACCATCTACAACAAAGAATCTTAGTGTTGTAAAATAATAACAGAAACTTAAATTATAGAAAAAGGAGGATAGCAGCTAGCTTACCTTGAATGCGTAGGTAGGCCATAGAACAAGTAGAAAACACAGTGCACAGTGTTTTTCTACTTGTTCTATGGCCTACCTACTCTTTCAAGGTAAGCTAGCTGCTATCCTCCTTTTGCTTTTTCTACAATTCAAAATCCTGGCCTATAGCCTTTCCTTGAACAAAAAGAAACTTAAATTAGTAAGGTTGTGAGATAATAAAATTTTTTGTAGAGAGCAGTAATAGGCTACTAAGGGTGATGGGCCTAATTGTTTTTTCCACAAGAAAAGCTTTAATTTATTCAACTGGTAAAATGTGATCTTCAAGCAGACTAATGAAGGTGTCACATTTGATAAAACAAAATTTGCTGGATCACTATTTGGATCATTCATAGCTTTAACATACTAAAGTTCCCTTTGTCATACTCCTTAACCTACCTTCAACATCTTTAGATATGTTATCAATGTCGTCTCTGCCATACTTCTCATTGGCCTTGATAAACTGATTGAAGTCTCTTTTGGTCCAGTTTGTAAATCCCTAAAAAATCAAAACAAATAAAATAATTAGATACAAAATATCATCCAAACCGGCAAAAGGCACATCTAGAGGATAACAGCTTTAAATTGATACCCAATATGCCTATAAAAATAAATATTTAGGGTTGATTTGCCGCACTTAAAGATCCAAAAAATTCTTTTAGTAATAAAGATGGTTATCTTAAGCATTGTCCTAAAAATCAAGGTATGTCCAATTTTTATAATAAAATAAAACACTGAAAAAGAAATTAAAATCCAGGCCGGTGGACTTCTTGAAATGTATATATTATGCCATAAAAGTGGTTTAAATTTATTTTGGGCAGAGGGATAACAAGGCTTAAAGAAAGTGATGTGTGGAAATTCAATGTGGAGCTTGTTTATCCAGCACTAGCTTCACATATTAGTATCACCAGACCTTATCTTGTCTAAAAGCTTAAATTAAAAAAGATAGGGCAACGCGCCACAAAACGAGGGAACACCATTATTTGAGGTACTCGGCTCAACCAAAACATCTGATTTTAAAAAATGCAAGAAAATTAACCACCAGTAAAAACACGTGATTAATGGGTTGGCTAAATCTAGCCTAAGTGTCACAAAGCCTTTAACACGCAGCATTGATATTTCTGTGTCACTTAATCAGAGAGTAGATTGAATGGTTGAGTTTTTTTATAAGTCCCTGTACACAAATGTTCTCAAGCTTAAATGTATGATTTATTCTAAAAAAACTCATTCATCTGCAAGATTTATGTTCAAAATTTATTTTACCTGAGTGAGCAACTTTTCCTTTTCGCCAATTTCATCATCATTCAAAGGCTGTGCGTCATCAATTTTTCTTTGTTCTTCTTTCTGTATCCTTGATGCTTCACTACCCAACTCCGGATTTTTTGGAACCTAAATCCATAGAAATACTAAATAAAAAACAATACAGTACAAAGATTTGACTAGCCATCATAACATGTATAATGTTAGTAAAATCGATACACAAGTTATATTTAAAATATTAAGATTAAGATGTTATTGCACCTATTGATTTATTACACCTGTACAAGTCTAAAGGGCCTTATGAAATCTTTAAAACAAAGATTAGTAGGCCCTAAGGTAGAATGTACTGGATCTCAATTAGATAATCACTTCTTAGAATTGGATATTGTGTGGTTATCCACAACTTGGGTTTCCACTTAAAAATCCCAATCTGTCAAATATTTGTTGGTCTTTTTTTTAATGGCCTACACACTTATTGAACTAGTGGCTCAAGCTTGTAAATGAAATTCATATGCATTTTTGTATATTTTGTATGACTTTGTAAGGGTCACCAGTCTTAGACAGGGGTACATGTGGAAATTGCAGCCTGTCACAACAAACCCCAGAGATAAACGTAAATTTTGCCGCATGTGGTTAACAAAATCTTTAGAAAACTCGTATCCCCATTCTTTGGGATTTTAATTATTTCAGCGTTTTTTAAATCTATAATTTTGGGATGCTCTGATTACTCCGTTTTTACAGATAGCCATATATCTGTAACAACGGCAAAAGCGTTTGCAAACGTCATGTACCATGGCCGTGCAGTTGAAAATTTACAATATCATTGTGGTCAAGAGATTACATTACACATTATTTATAAGTGTCATGTCCGCTACAGATGTTTCGAATTGACTGAAAATCCAAAGTTATTAATGATTGAGAAAGTTTGACCTTGTAATTCACAGCCCATTCCAGGTTATTTTTTCATTGAGCAAAATTCACGGTTTAACGTTTTGCTTGGTTGAGTGGGTAGGGTCCATGAATAAAATTTGTAGTACAAAACAAACTTATTTTTCTTGTTGCTGGTTACAAGAGAATATTAGTACAGTAGAGCGTCAAAAATCCGAACCGCTCCTGAGGATTTCAAATGTTTATTTAGCACTGAGACAAGAGATGTTTTACAATTTTGCAGGCAAAACAACAGTAGGCTAGTCAGTAATGTACCAAAAAAAAAAACTTAAGTACAAAAAACTTTGATTTAATTTTATTTACTATATCCTAGAATTTTTAATACTGAAGGCCTAATAAACTAACAACATTTGTTAAGTTTTTTGCCGAAGCAATCTCGACACCTAGAAGCATTGGTCCACCCAAATTATGTGTATAGAATTATGTGTCTATTAGGCATTTCTAGGTTTGAAAGTCCGAACAAATCAGTAATCTGAACTACCTACCAATTGGTTCAGACTTATGATGCTCTACTGTATAAGCCTTCCCCGAGTTATTGAAATATAAATAACCTCCTAGACTAAGTTATATATGAAGACAAAAATACCTTGTATCCAACGGTCTTCCTGAAGTAGTAAATCTCTTGGTCAAGCAGCTCAAATAGTCGAGGAGGGAAGAATTGGAAGTCTTGGACAATCGGTTGTTTCGGCGGACGAGGGGCCTGACAAGCAATCATGATCATGTTAAAGTTAAACTTAAAATTTATTGAAAGGTTATTTTGTACTGTGAATAGTTTATATTTTGTAATCAATACTTTGCCCAAACATTTCAAAAATGTTTGGGAAATTTTTTATTTTGTCCTATGAGACGAGATTTTATTTTGATCAACATTTTTTCAAGACAACATTATTAAAAAAATATTTTAAAAACACCTGCAGAAAGTCAATGCTAGCAATGCAGAAGCGTATTGTTGTTGCGTTTCCTTTGCGAAGGCATTCTTATTTAATTAATGCTTTACATGTAAATATTGCTTTGTTTTATAACTTTTAGTTTTGACATTGCAAATGATGAGAAGTGTTTTAAGTGTAAGCAGTGTGAGACTTGGTATACTGTAAACATAGCCAAAAACAATTCACTCCAACATCATTTTAAAAATAACACAAGACAGAAAAAGTATTGTTTTAGACTCATAAATTTGGTATTTTTCAAAGTTTTATCATTGTAATTCATACTTAACCAAGAAACTATTTATTTAATCAAAATGAACAAATTAGGAACAGTATTTTATCTAATAATTTCAACACCCTCCCCTCTTAGTCCCAGCTCTATTAGGGGAACCGAGCCTCAGGTACACGGTGGGTCACAGCTGGCGGATAGCGGACGTTCCATCAGATATGGTGGACAGCTGCGAATAAGGGGTACCCCGAATAAGCAGTCCCGGACCGAGGCGGCAGCACCGGAGGGCGTGGGAGGGTTATCTGTGGCAGGGTCACACTCAGCAAGTCCACATGAGCCCGATGATAGTGCTGTGTCATGGCGAGGAAGTGCCGCCATCAAACAAGCACTGCCCGTACTGCCTTGTACGATAGGGTTTGGGTATCCAAAGGCTAGGAGAAGGAAAACTCTGATGTAGGCCTAACACCAAGGGCACGACGGTTCCACATGTCAGTGGCGGTTTCCTGACAGCGTCTGATTCACATGTTAGTGGCGGCTGATTCATATCTTCTGTGGCTAACAACCATAGTTGTAACTCGAAGCTTGCTTCACCCCGAAGGTTTAACTTCTGACGGTCAATCATGGAAAGGTCTTTTAGAAGAAAATTTCCACCGTCTAACCCCTTGGGGAAGGAGAAGGCTACATCGGATTCGGTGGGTAGCCAACTAAAAGGCTCACATGAAACAAATTACTTGAAACCACTTGATCACAAACGTACAAACAAAATAAAACACAAACAAGTAAACTACATTGCGACACATAACATAAACTCTCTACTGAAGACTGGTAAGCTCAAGAACTTCACGAATGAACTAGACAACAAAAGATCATTATAGCAGGACTTCAAGAAATGAGGAATACAACAGAAGATCCATTTGAATCTCAAGGATATAGGATTTACAATGGAAAACCACGAAATAAAGTAATGAAACAGTGCCCCCAATTTAGAACAGGATTCATAGTAAGTTTGAAAGTAATAGATTCAATAGTTGATTTTAATGCTGTTTCACCACGGATTGCAACCTTAACTTTAAAAACAACAAATAAAATTTACACTATTATTAATTCTCATGCCCCTACAAATGAGAAAAACTATGGAAGAAGTAGAAGATTTCTGGGATCTTTTGGATCAGACAATAAACCAAATTAACAAGAACTTAAAGATATGAAAAATTATAAAGCATCTGGTGAAGATCAAATTTATGCAGGAATGTGGAAGTATACGGGCAAATCAACAAAAACATCTCTACATATGATATTACAAAAAATCTGGATAACCGAGAAATTTCCAGAGCATTGGACCACAGCCGTAATCAATCCACTTCACAAGAAAGGAGATAAGAGCAACCCGGATAACTATAGAGGAATTTCACTTTTGGATTGCACATATAAGATTTTTTCAAAAATTTTATATAATAGGATTAAGGAACAACTTGATAATGAACTAGGAGAATACCAAGGAGGCTTCAGACCTTGGAGGAGCTGTGCAGAACAAATAATTACGCTGAAATTGATTATGGATTACTACAGAAAACGAAACAAACTTCTTTCAATAACATTTGTAGATTTTAAGAAAGCTTACGATTCCATCCATAGACCATCATTGTTAAAGATTCTCAGACATTTCGGACTCCACCCAAAATTAATAAAACTTATAGAACTTACCTTGACAAATACCTTCAATAAAATTAAATTTAGAGGAGAAATATCAGAACCTGTCCTGGTCAAAACTGGTTTGAGACAGGGAGACGGCCTTTCACCACTTCTTTTTAACTGTGCACTTGAATACATTATGAGGCTTAAAACAAACCCAAAAAATATTACTGTTGGAACAAAAAAAGATGACATAAAGTTAAACTGTTTAGGATTTGCTGACGATCTGGCTCTTCTAGCTAATAACATCCAAGAAACCAAGCAACAAATAAAATCACTTCAGGAAATAGCCCAGAGCATAGGTCTAAAAATTTCTTTTGAGAAAACTGAAATAATGTTAACAAAACCACCATTGGCTAACAAAATCAAAATTGGAGAACATTGCATCAAAATTGTAGAAAATTTCAAATACTTAGGTGAAGTTATAACATACAATCTTAAAGAAAATCCATCATGGCAAAATAGAATTAATAAATTGATCAGAATGCAACATATTACTAAAAACACATACATCAAAAAATGCCTATCAATAGCAACAAAATTGAAACACTACAAAGCAGTTATACTTCCACAAATAACATATGCAAGTGAAACTATGTTTAAAACAACTAACACTGTAGCAATAGATAAAATACTAAAAATAGAAAGAAGAATCAGTCAGAACATGTATAAACAAAAAATATCAAAAAGATGGAGTTTGGAGACTGGCCTCAAATAAAACTGTATACATATAAGGAAATAGACTATGTTTAAAACAACTAACACTGTAGCAATAGATAAAATACTAAAAATAGAAAGAAGAATCATCAGAACATGTATAAACAAAAAATATCAAAAAGATGGAGTTTGGAGACTGGCCTCAAATAAAACTGTATACATATAAGGAAATAGAGCCATTAACAAGTATAATTAAAAAGAAAAGAATTTCATTCATTGGACATCTTTTAAGGACACCGGAAAATAGAATAAGCAAGAAAATAATTGACAAGTTGTGGAATAGCAAGAGTGACTTTAAAAGGTGGATTACAGAGATTAAGGAGGACATGAGAAGGTTGAAAATATCATTAGAAGATTTGGAAAATAAGTCAGAGGCGCTTGCAGTACACAAAGACAAAAATATCATCCTGCCAATAGGAGCAAACAATCAGAGACAAGGAAGAGTGGTTTCGGAAGAAGAAAGAAAACAACGGTCGGAAAGAATGAAGAAGTATTGGGCGGACAAGAAGAAGAGACAGAATTTAAAAAGAATCTAACCATTATATTGACTTAAGTGGTCCAATGCTGGCCATAAAATAATAATAATAATTTCAACAGCTCATCTCAAAACAAAAGGTAACAATAATAATAAATAAACAGTCCATCTGATCTTTTAAACATTAAAAATATGGTCAAAGATTACATATGCTACGCAAAATAGATATTACAGCCAAGCCATTTTTGTGATGTAAACTTCCATGCGAAGCCTAGCGAATGTCTTCACAACCTAAGACTTCATTGCCGACATGACCAGCTGTTATTTACGTATTTTTGTTGTTGTTTATTGTTATGGTTATTTGTGGTTGTTTGCTTCTGTAAGTAACAGGAAGTTTATTAGAAGATGGATTAGCAAGAGTGAAGAAGTGTTAGTATTATGTGTACTGAATAACAATTGTATTATGATGTGGATATTTTCATGAACAATACCAGGTATTAAGACGAGTGTATGTGATAAATAGCAAACACGGCAATCAAAAAACGGAAAGGCCTTCCCGACACTGCTTTACATTCACGTTTAGTTTGTGAACTGCATTTTGAACCTTACTGCTTTATAAATAATATGAAAAGTAAAAAGGAAGCTGTACCAACATGACTAGTTATGTACTAACAAACTATGGATGTACACCAGTTGTCACTCAGCAGTCTGCACTCATTACCGCCTCTACAGACGATCACCACTGTCTCGCGGCAGCCCCTTCATCACATAGCGATAAATTCACCAGTATTTCTACTGTCAAGGTCTCATTATCTTAAGAGTCTGCCTAAAAACAGTTACGATAGAGTTCCGAAATATAATATTAACTACCTTCATCATACTATTACGCAATAATTTGTAATTTATTGTCAATTTAAAATAGACGTACGTTGAACGTTGTGGTTTAAGTGTTTATCAACGAAGACCACTACGAGGGAAATAAAGTATCCTAGGCTATATATTTATGGGATTCAATTTTGGAGAAGGGTGGTTAGGCAATTTCTGCTCCAGGGCGCTCCAATCAAAACCTGGCTACGCCAATACAATGCCTTAATGTTGATTCAGGAACTTACCATGAATATAATGGGATGGCGAACGAAATGCCTGTTGTAAAATGTTATTACAGGCTTCCGGTACAAAGTATTCGACCTACTTGGTATAAAGTAAAATCCCTACTCGCCCACCCCTACCAATCTTGTCCATCCCTAAAGATCATCTATTACCAGCTATTAAGCAAATTATGAAAACCTCATAAAAAATAGAACCTCTATTATACTTCATAGAGGCTCCTTCAGCAATGTTCTGTCCAAGTGGTCTACTAAGAAGGGATGTCTACTTATCCATAGTCAATGGGAGTTACTCACTTTAGGAGCCTTGGGTTCAGACACTCTGAGGGCCTCTCTGAAGTAAGCGTCCACAGCGTAGTTTGCCTTGCGTTCTCTCTTTGGAGGCTCAATCCAATTGCCGATCCCCATTACTCTCTGTTTTTCTCTATAATAATAAGAAAAATAGAGAAATCAAATTGCACTAGTTGGTTAATCACTTACCATATATTATAACTCTGCACTTTTTGTTGCAAGTGTAACTTTGGAATTTTTACAACAATCTAACAAATCATCAAAATGCTCTATGTGTTGTAATAAAATAAAGGATTGAAAATTATTTCTATTTAATGCAACATGTCTTGTCCTAAAACTACTACTGTACTACTGTAGTAACAAATAAGTTAATGTATTGCTGCTTTCGTCGGTCATTCTCTCATAGTCAATCGTATAAACAAATAAATTCTCTTCTAGATTCTTTGTAAGTTGATTATTCTTTCACTTCTGTATTAAGGAGTTAATTTAATTTTTAATGTTTCTTTAAAAAGTTTGGTTTAGAGAATTGAACTAACAAATTTAAGATTTGAGTCCTCCTAAAATGGTAGTAGGCCTATACACCTCATTTTCTCGAACAAATCATAATGAAGGACAAAGTCACTTTTTAAGTCAAAGGAAACATTAGTCCTACTTGTTTTATCGCTTGTGTTTTATAGGTTGTTAGTTGAACCTACCTGTAATCTTCACCTTCAAACTTGTACACAGATTCTGTTGGAACTTCCATTGTGAAGTTCCTCAAGGAGGATTCGTCCCCAATATCTTCCAGCTTCTTTTTCATCTCCTCCGTCTAGAAAAACAATGACAGGAATTAGAATAGTTAAATAATAAAATGCGGACAAAAAATAGTTATGGTAAAAAGGGGGTTCTTCAGTACCTACAAAAAATATTTGCATCGTCTGAACAGAAAATATCTATCCTTATTTGTTTCCTAAATAGGTAGGCCTTGATGATCACATGTTGCAACTAAACCGGCACAATTATAAATGTTAGTTGAGTCGAAATAATACAGAGTACTAATTTTAAAAGTAGTTCTTACATTTAATTTTACAAAAAATGTTCCAAAGTTTAAAGATTTGGGACTCAATCTTCAGGATTTTGATTTGGGATTGAAGACTAATCCTAAGAGTTAAATTATACTTGTCTTGAGTTTTACAATTTCAATGACTTAAGTGTACCTTGGCTTCGCCCTTCTGTAAGATGGTATCAATGTCTTCATCAGTGATTTCCGAATCCTTTGAAGCAAACACATGATTGGCTCCGTGTCGGATCATATTGAGCATCTCGTCTTTGTTCAATGTGTTCTTGTTGTCTACTAGACGACCTGATGAAAAATAAATTGTTAGTTAGAATGAGGATTAGAGAAATGTTTGCTATACACATTGAGAATATTTATGTGAAGGGCCTACAGTACATACAATTTAGCAGGCCTAGCATAAGAAATTAATTCCAAACAAATTATTGGTAAGGTGTTAGTGAGAGATACACATTAGATTATTAATAGGCATATTTTTTTTTACTTTTTTCTCAGCTTGTGTGCATCACAGGCTACCAAAAAGCTACCAAGACTGTTATAAAGATAATCCTGTAGATGTGCAGAATCCCTTCGTAAATTAAAATAGGCTCAAACATAAGCACAAAAAATGAATTTTAAATTTAAAAAAATTAACATGGGTCTTATGGGTTGCCATGCTGGTGACGAAATGACAAGCCTACATAAAGAGAAACAGAAAATAAAAACAAACGGAATACTGCTGCACAATTATCACATGTTTTATTTAAAGTGTGGGGTGAAAATAGAGAAGCCTGTTGTACTTTAGAATTAGATTATTTTTTTGTTGAGTTTTTGACACCACTGCACGACCTTTAGTTTACATAAATACATGACGTTGCAATAACTTTATAGCCTAACAATTAAAAATGTTATATTTTTCCAATACTAAGTACTCTTACTCGGAAAATATGTTTTTTGTTGGTTTGTTTTAAGAGTCCTTGGAGACAAGACAAAATAATATAGAAACAAAGAAATTCTTTAAAAACTTTTTTACTGAGGATTGATCTCACTATATATCTGTACTGGTTTTTTTTACATGAATGCTTTATATGCCAACTTATAAAGTAAAGTTTTGTAAAGTTCGAGTTCGGTGGTAAAAGTGGCGTTACTCATATAATCTAGTGCATATAGCTAGGAGTAGTTTAGCTGTATTAGGTGGATTAAAATAGTTAAAGAGTTTGCAAAAGTTTAGTAACACTAAATCTCGGGTATTACACTTCATAGCATACCTTGTTGTATAACCAGCTTGTCCAGCCTTAACTTGACTTCCGCTCTTTCAACAATCTTCTCTTCCACAGTGTTTTCTGTTATCAGTCTAAACACCCTCACCTGCTTCTTCTGGCCGATACGATGGGCACGATCCTAGAACGGAGAATTAACATTGACAATCATGATGTTCTAATGAAAACTACATACAACAAATACATTATTTAGCATCATAGAAAGTCAATAATATAATGGAACCATGATAAACACATTTATAAGATTCCTTCATCAAAGAAAGACCTCTTAAACATCAATGAATAGGGGAATAGAGAGAGACTAAAGACATGAGAATGTTGAAGACCAATAAAGAAAAAGGACCAGAAGAAGTGCAGACTTATAGTTGGTGTGCCCAAATACCTGCTTGGGTATAAGTAACCATAGAAGTAGGAGTTATTTTTATTCGTCTCTTTACAGAATCAGAATCTTTATTGTTTGTTTACAAATGCAATAGACTAAAATCCAATTTTTAAAAATTTTAATGGGGTTTTTATAGGGAAATAACAAAAGTTACAATAACTTTTTAACCCCAATTTTCACAGAAATGGGATTTGTACAATTTTGTTCAGAATTTAAAGAACTAAGATATAACATTCAAAAATGTTATTAAAATAGTTCGAAGGCAATCTTAGAGAAAATCAGAATTTTACGTTACTCTATGGATGTTATGGGAAAATCAACATAAAATAAAATAACGCCTATGGAGATACCATGAATTAGTGCTTACAAACAAACCAAACTTCATCAAAATCAGACTACAGGTGTACACATCCACACATACAGAAACACACAGGCATTACTTTGAAAACCTCTTTTTTGGGTTCAGAGGAACTCAAAACGGATATAACCACTAATCCACTCAAAACTCAAAAAAAAATTTTACGAAAACAACACTTTCTCCACAAAGGCCTACTACGGGTATAGGGAGAGAAAGTAAAAATTACTAGTCAATAATAACATATTTCACAGATAATTGATAATTATACATCCTAGGCTCTAGTGTCGATCCGTTTCACACGTTACCTCATGCTAGGCCTAGAGGATTACGACATTATCTAAAAGCTTTAAGTTGTTGATAATAGATGGAATTTGAACCTAGAACCTCGGAGACCCAAATCGCTATACCACTAGACCAGCTTGCTTCCAGTTGATGATCCAGTTAGTGTAATAAAGTATTAGAAAAAAAGTGTGCATAATTCAAATGTTGAAATATAAAACTCTGTTTTTACCATAGCCTGTAGATCCATCTGAGGATTCCAGTCGGAGTCATAGATGATGACGACGTCCGCTGTGGCCAAGTTGATACCCAGACCTCCAGCTCGGGTGGATAACATGAAGATGAACTTCTCGCTGTCGTCTGCATTGTACTCGTTGATCTGTCGCTGTCTGTCTTCATGAGGTGTCTGACCGTCCAATCTGCAATACTGTACAGACAAAATTGTTGGCGTAGCTTGTAGTGGTTAGTTTGCTAAATTACTGCTCCTCTTAACCTTTCAAGGCAGTTCTCGCATCTTCCTCATCAGGTAGGCTACAAAAAGACTAAGACACTGTTAAGGTTTGACATCCGCTTGCCATGGCGCAACCCGGTAGCTGGTCTGAGGACGAATAATTTTTAACTTAAACTGTATTTAGCAGCACAAAGTCCATTAGTTGCTTGATCTTATACAGCTGATCCAAGTTGTAGTGAGTGCGACAGAGATGGATTGTTTTGAAAAGTGAAAACTATGAAAGGCACCTTCGTAAGTTCTCAACTCTTTAAAGAATTATTTAATTGTGAGTATGGACCTAGAATTTGAGTTTAGAATGCCCCCAAGGTGTTTTATTTATAAATTGATGATTAAATTATGAATTGAACCATAACCAGCACTAACACTGCAAAGAGAAAAATAAGGGACTGTTTGAAGCAATTTGGGTATTAGGTTTATTTTTTGAAAGGTTAAGTTTATTATATTTGAGGGACCTTAGGGAAATTTTCAGTAACAATTAGTAAAAAAAAAGTAAGCTTGATTCAGGATTCGGAATGTGAATCTGGATGGAATCTATTTTTAGTATTTTTAAATCTTGAGGTTTTGTCATGTACCTGAAAGCCTCTCCAGAAGCAGTAGTCCTCCAGGATGTCTATCATCCTGGTCATCTGACTGAAGATAAGTACTCTAGAGCCTTGCTCCTTCAACTTGGGCAGCAACTTGTCCAGGATCACCATCTTACCGCAGTTATACACCTGGCAAAAATATGTCACAATAAAATATAACAAGCTCTCCATAAAGCTATATTAACACATAGAGGATCAGAACTAATGATGTGTCAAACCTTTTTACTAGGGGGCTGCGGGTATTTTTGGGTCGGGCCAACAGTTGGTGAAAATGATTCAGGCCAAGTGAGGATGAGTATTATATTAACTGTGATCGCAGAAGGCGTTAGCGATTTTGATGTGATCGCGGAAGATGTCAACAATTTTGATGTGATCGTGGAAGATGTTCTTGGCTTACCAAATCACAGAAGACATTCAGAATTTTGACGTGACCGTTGGAAGATGTTTTTGATCTCACCGTCACTGCTGTGAACAAATATGTTCGCCAATTCGACAAGACCGCTAGATTTTACTGTTACCGCAAACAATTTCCACAATTTCATTATGACTGCAGAAGATGTTCATGATATTGTAACAGTCAGATTTTTTTGTGCTGACAGAGATGGATGAGCGTTTATGCAAGAAAATCCAGTAAATTGATCCACCCACACTTGCTGGGTGTTAAACCTTTCAGAATTTGTCTAAGATTCATATTAAAACAAAATAGCAATAAAATAAGTTTTCCTGGAGAAATTTAAAAAATGTACGCATAGCCTAATTCTTGGTTCTCCCGGTATGGGCCACACTTGAACGCCATTAAAAATTCATTTTCCTAATAGCTGCTTCATTTGATGAGTGTATTAGAATTACTACCTACGATGCAGGACACCTACTTTTGTAGTTTGAACAATATTTACCAGATGTTCGTCAGTGGTGTATGGAGGGCCAGGTTCAGCTCCATCAAACAGATACGGGTGGTTACTGCATTTTCGCAGCTGCATGAGAATGTTCTGCAGTCGCATCTTTTCTATCTTGCCTGCTCCATTCACCACATCAATATCCTTCATCAATACTTTGGTGTACCTGAATAAAATTAAATAAAAATTCAGCAAAAAATTAAATACATTTTGATTTTATTGATCTTATAAAATGCAATGACAATTAATCTATGGCTTAGAAAAATTATGAATTAGAAATGGACCAGACCAGAAAAATGTATTCAAAATCTTCTGACGGGGTACAATTAATTTTTTATCATGGGGACAGAATTTATCACAGTGATTGCAAGAGACGATGAAAATATTTTAAATAATGTTATTTTTTCTAGTTATATTTTGTTTTCCAAAAAAAGATTAAAACAAGCAGCTGATCACAAACGGCAAACATTACGTCATTGCCGTTGCCTATGATGTCATGCCAGAGGAGCATTACAGCCTGTTTATTAGTGTTGCCTTGCTAGACCCTATCTTCATTCAAGTATTTTAGAGCAGTAATAAACAAAACTTACCATTCACGCTGCATTTTACTCAGCCCAACGTAGATTTTAACTTCTTTCTTAGGCTTCAATCGTTTTTCTACTTCTGACTTCAAACGTCTCAGCAAGAAAGGTCTTAAAACTGAATGCAACCTCTCAATCAGGGAATTGTCACCCATAAAGTTGTTGGTGTTGAACCAAGAATCGAAATCCTGAAATAAGTCACAGCATTTTGTTTATTGTGAAACAAAATTGTATTAATTACTGTATCACCGATTAAGATGCGGATGCTATGGTCATATTTTAACCTACATACATACACGAAATGAAACAGAGTACTTTTTTGTGAGAAAGTTGCAGTTAGCAGGAAAATTGTGGCTGCGACTTGTATAGAACATTGCCTTCGACTTAGTGAGAAGGCGGAAATAGTAAACTGCACAGTTGTTGATGACACCTTTTAGTGGGAAAGGATTTTGTTATGGATGGAATTTATCTCGTACACTTATAAACATTTGAGTAGAGGACAGAGGTACAGAACAAGTTTCAAAATGTAATATATTTAAATATAGTCTCATACAAAATAGCATACACGTTTTTATATTGTGTAACCTTCCTTTTTGATGTCTCTAGAGGCACAAATTTTGTTAGATCAGTCATCTGAACTCTGTAGGCTACCTTTAAAAAAACCTTTATAAAACTGTATGGCTTCTCTTAAAAAATATTCTTTGAACAAGTATCCTTTTTGCAAATCGACAAAAGAAGGTATTTATCTTCATAAATCAGTTGTTAGATTTGACTACTTACATCGGAAGAGTTAAAAACATCCGGCAGCAGAAAGTTGAGAAGAGACCAGAGCTCGTGCAGATTGTTCTGAAGTGGAGTTCCTGTCAACAGGAGTCGGTTGGTGGTTTTGAATTCCCTTACGATCTCAGAAAGTTTGGACTTTTCATTCTTGATACGATGAGCTTCGTCAATCACCATATACCTGAAATAATCACCGAACGCAATGAGAAAAATGCAAAAAATGTTCATGGTTGTGTTGAGTCAACACAATGTTCATGAGTGTGTTGAGTTTATTCAAATTCGTTACGCCAAAGGAAAATAAGTTAAAGCAAGAAGAAACATAATACCACATGATAATTCCAATGATTTAAAACACTTAAATCGTCTTTGGATTTGTACTCACCTCCAGTTGAACTTCTTGAACACTCCTTTTTCCCTGATAACCATCTCATAAGAGGTCACACAAACATCCCATTCACCTGGCATCAGGACATCTCTGATGAAAGAGTTCTGGAAAACAAATTACTGTTGAACAAACAATAATATTTCTGATTCAAAAACCAACCAAACAGGGTTGAGGTTTGATTCAGTGAGTTTGTTTAAAGGATTTTCACCAATAATTTGCTGTGTGCAATTTGCTGTGTTTGTCAACCATCAGTAATTGATGTGCCATTTATGCCTTAAAGTGATGGTCAAAACCAGAAATTTCGAATCTCGAAACCAAAACCGAAACTTGAAAAATCAAATCCCAAATTTCAATTCTCAAAACCTATACGTGAAACTTTTTAGTTACCTGATCAAGGCTGCTAAAAATACAGGTAATGATAACATTTTTGCGATCAAAACTGAAAGAGACATTAACATAAACATGAATATTACACTCTAATTAGAACATTTTGTGGTCAATATTTCTTTGTGTTTAATAAAATTTGATATGAAACTGAATTGTGAGTTGTTCCAGTACAGTAGAGTCCCGCAAACTCGGCACTCGATAACCCGTCAGTCTGGATAACTCGGTCATCACCTGGCTCAGATAATTTTAATAATTTGTTGAGTCCGAGTTAAACATGGGTTCAAGCCAGCTCAAGTCAAATCATTCAAAACTCGTACCAAGGATTTGTTACGTGTGTTGTGTTGTTGTCGTCTGATGACTTAATACTGACTTGCAATATAAATATAAATAAAAATGCCGGTTAAAAAGCTTTAAAATGGTATTGTTCTTATTTTTAACCCTAGTTCCCGATAACCTGGAATTTCACAAACTCGGCACCCTTCCAGTCCACATTATGCCGAGTTTGCGGGACTCTACTGTATTTAAGATACTTTTTGCAGTTCAGAATACAATTTACTTGTTTCATTTATGTTAATGGAGATGTGTTTGTTCCATTGCTACAGGCTTATAATGACACAAAAAATTACAGCAGTTTCAAAAATAAAATTGTCAAAATTTTCTATTGTGAAACTTTTGAATCTCGAAACTTGCATATCGAATCTTGAAACCGAAACTTTTCCTAAGTTTGGATGGTTTTGAGATTTGGTTTTGATACATCATTAATGGCTATATTGTTATTTGGTTAAGTACCCCAAAGCAGAATGGTTCCTACGTGTCTGCAACGGCCTGTGAAAACCTCAAAATGTGTCCACAAGCGCTAAAACTAAAAAGCTAAATAATGACTTATATACCGGTATATATATAGCCTATATATATTCACTCTTTAGGGCTACTAGTAATATAGTTAAATAAAATAAGGAAATTTCAATAACTTGTATAGCCTACTTTTAAAACAAAAAACTAAAAAACTATTAAGGGGTAGGCATAATCAGGTTATTTAAATTTACTTTTTTTTAAATACGTATATATATATATGCACATACCTTAACAAGTGTTAACAAGGTCTTCAGAAGTAAAACTTTAAATGTACTATAGTTTCTTTATATAAACACACTAGGGATGGACGGGATTGAAATTTTAGTTCGGGACGGGACGGGATTTTTATTTCCTTCCCGATTTTCGGGACGGGATGGGACAGGATTTTTTTCTGTGCATAAAAAAGTACTGTATTGCAGTTACCAAAAAAGACATACGAAATCAATTTTTACCATTTGTGGCACTGATCTATAAAAACCAAAAAATGGGTAACAATTTACAGGTACCTATAGAAACTTGTGACTCGCGGGTCACGGGGTGATCGTCTGTAGAACTCACGGTCACGGCGCGATCGTCGTCATGACTCGCGGTCACGGCGCGATCGTCGGTATGACTCCGCGGTCACGGGGTTATCGTCGGTATGACTCCACGGTCACGGCGCGATCGTCGGTATGACTCCGCGGTCACGGGGTTATCATCGGTATGACTCCACGGTCACGGCGCGATCGTCGGTATGACTCCGCGGTCACGGGGTTATCGTCGGTATGACTCCACGGTCACGGTGCGATCGTCGGTATGACTCGCGGTCACGGCTCGGGGTGATCGTCTGTAGAACTCACGGTCACGGCGCGATCGTCGTCATGACTCGCGGTCACGGCGCGATCGTCGGTATGACTCCGCGGTCACGGGGTTATCGTTGGTATGACTCCGCGGTCACGGGGTTATCGTCGGTATGACTCCACGGTCACGGCGCGATCGTCGGTATGACTCCGCGGTCACGGGGTTATCGTCGGTATGACTCCACGGTCACGGTGCGATCGTCGGTATGACTCGCGGTCACGGCTTGATCGTCAGCATGACTCCGCGGTCACGTCGTGATCGTCGGTATGACTCGCCATCATGGCATGATCGTCAGAATGACTCCGCGGTAGCGGCGCGATCGTCGGTAGGACTCCGCGGTCACGGCGCGATCGTCGGTATGACTCGCGGTCACGGCGTGATCGTCGGTATGACTCGTGGTCACAGCGTGATCGTCGGTAGGACTTCGCGGTCACGGCGCGATCGTCGTTATGACTCCGCGGTCACGGCGTGACTGTCGGTATGACTCCGCGGTCACAGCCCGATCGTCGATCCAATAATCGCGGCCACGGCGCGATCTTCGTTATGACTCCGTAAATGTGTCCGCAGGCCCGCGTTTCTCGGCGTTTCGTGTCCGCGACAATGTCGCAGCGTCGCTCGTTGTTCTGCTTTGGGGGTTAAGTACGGTACCTTAACCGATTAGGCCTACCACAAATTTGACTTAACAAATTTAATAATATAATAGATTTTACACAACCTAACCTATTTAGATTAATAGTTTGGTACAAACTTGCAATGACAATTTAAAAAGATATTAACATGATTTCTTTAGCTAGTTTATTTTAAAGTTGACTTTGCAAATCATCTGAATACATACTCTGGCCTCCTGGTCACCAATCAGACAAACTGCTCTCAGACTTGGGCACCATTTCTTGAACTCATTCATCCAGTTGGCCAATGTTGACTTTGGCACAATCACCATATGTGGCCCGAGAATGTTGCGATAGTGCTTCATATACCTATACAACACCACACAGACCTACATTACACTGTTAAATGTAGCTAAATGTAGCTTGTTAAAATCTTATTTCACTGACTTGTCTCAAATGCCCAGGAGAACCTACACTTAATATAACAGTCATAATAAGAAAATGTGCGATAGCGGCAAAATCATATACATATCCCAGGCCTTTCGGAAATCATCATCGTCTCCCCAGTCACGGAAACGTCATCGTCATCATGTGTGATTGCGGCAAAATCATTTACATATCCCGCGGCCGTGTGGACATTATCATTGTCTCCCGCGGTCATCTTCGTCATGCACGATAACTCTCTGCAAAATTGCAAATTCTCGTTAAAAACTAATTCGCATAACTTCTGGTTTTTTCCCAGTTCAAAAAAATCACACGTAATTTCTAGTTTTCCAGGTCGGTGGACACCCTGTTTATTTTGTGACATCTAAGTCCTTCTTTTCAAATTTACGTAAATTCCCATAAATAGGGTTAAAAATTGCAGAATCTTTTCCAATGGTCCAGGTAAGATGATTACCAAATCATTAAAATAATTAAAATGTGTTATTAATAATTACCAATTTGTAAAAATCATACCTTAAAGTAACTAAAATACTAGAACTACTAACTTACCCTAATAGAGAAATTGTCTGCAATGTTTTCCCCAGACCCATCTCGTCTGCCAAGATACCATTAATGCCATTTTCGTAGAGAGATATCATCCAGTTCAGACCTCGTACTTGATAGTCTCTCATCTCCCCGTTCTTGATGTAAAAAGGTGATGCTTCAAACCTAGCGATTGTCTTGCTCTGAGAGTTTGTTTCTGCAAGTAATTCTTCATCTTCCTCCTGCTCTGTCTTTCTATGGCGATGGCTGAAAAATAAAAACTCAAGTTGAATTTATTGCATAAAGATTTAATTGTGTTTTCCATATTCATATATCTGAAACAACGGAGTAAAACAGAAAGAAGTGGCAGTGAGGACTATTGACTGATAGAGTGTAGGCCTACGTTTACATGTTTGTACCGAATTTCATCAAAATCAGATGATTTTAGCGAATTTCCCATAGGGAATAAGCTATTACCGTAGATCTCATGGTAAGACCTAGACCCGGGAACGATTTACTTTTTCGTTTTGAGGTCCCCAGAGGCCAAAAACACCATCCGTTCAAATTCATATATATATATATATTAGGGATGGGCCGATTCCGATTCTCGATACCTTCGATACCAGTGGTATCGAAGAATCGCCGATACTCGATACTTTGCTTCATTGTACTCGATACCGATTCTGAAAAGTGAGGTTAATTAATAATGCTAAACTCAACTGACATTGAAGGTTGTAAAGAGTGGCACATCATAGTTTATTTGAAATACTCTGAAGTCAGCTAATATAAATAATTCCAAGTTCATTATCTCACATTGGTAATAGTTTTTTATCATCCAAAATAGATTGCCATTGCATTTCAGAACGAGTAGCAATGGGTACGACGAGCTGTGTTCATTTGACAACAGTGACAAGACAAGACAACTAGGCCTATCAGAGCAGAACTCTAGTTGCCGCCATGTTGTCAGATCAAAGGCAATGTTGCCAGATGGTACAAGCATTTAATATATACATATAATACACATAAGGTGTATATAGTCAATGGTTTAACTCGCATTTTCTAACTCCAAATTGTGGCATAGCTTATAATTTTTTGTGAAAGTGTGGCATAGCTTATAACTGATTATAAGCTATGGAACAAATTCACGATTATAAGCTATGACATTATAAGATATGAGACCCCACGAACTGTTCAGCTAATTCAGGGCTTCATGGTGACTATTGTAGAAAGCCATTTAGCGATGTATTTTTATCGGTTTTTTATGTTGTTTCTCTATGACTGAACTGAAACAGCTGTCACGAGTTTGCAAATGGCAAAGAATTGTTTAACCTATGTTTTGGTTTTTGTTGTTTGTTTTGTTTTCTGTGCGTGCATAGTGAGTTTGAGTTGTTCAAAATGGATATGATCTCCGACTCCGTTCTAGTGATGTGACGAACTCCATGACTTTTTTATATGATTCTTTAAGTAATTAAAGTGATATTGATGATGACAATATTGAAGATGACTTTGAGTTTATAACTCAAGCAATATGGAACATTCATTGTAGGCCTAGGCCTAGATGTACAAATTATGAATTCTTATGAAAAAAAAAAAACTCTGAACATTTTAGGCCTACCGGTACCTAAATTGGTGATTGTGCTCAATTAATTATTATTATCAATTAATTATTAATTTAATAAATTATGTTAAAATTTATGTCTTCTTGAAATAGCCCTATCTTATTTTTCCTTTTTGGCTAACCTAATCTATGTAACCTTAATAAATTCAATGCAGTTATCTTATTGTATTTAAAGATTAAATAAAGTTAGGCTTTTTCATAAGTTCATAAGTTATTATATGTGTTATTAAATGAATTTTTAACAGGTATCGGTATCGAGTGCGGAATCGAGAATCGAAACCAAAGTTGTAGAATCGGAATCGGTATCGGAATCGACCAATTCAGGAATCGGCCCATCTCTAATATATATATATATTTATATATGTGTCCGTTAGCGCGATAACTCGAGCAAAATTGATCTGATTTTGATGAAATTTGGTACAAACGTGTAAACCTACATTTATTCGAACGAGTTCGCGAACCAGCATAATCGGACCATGGGATCAGGGGTTTATGGGAGGTTTTATGGGGTAAAAATGGGTTTTTCTCATTTTTGACCCTAAAAACTTTAAATTTCTAAATTTCTCTCTAGACCATTTTGAAGAGCTTAAAAAAAAAACAAATAATTTAGTATATTGAAGTGTTTTTGAATGTTCATTGACTACGGAGAAAATTTAAAAAAATTTAAATTTAAAATTCCCATGTTATTCTTATGGAGAATAAATAAACTGTTCTAGTTTGCTTGTTTATGGATATATTTTAATCAAATTTGGCAATTTGGTTTATTTCATACTAAGCTATCAATATTTCAATTGAAAAAACACACCTCAACATCTTCCCGTAGCAGCAAACCTAACTACTCACAAAAGTTAATGTTATTTAAAAATGGAAATAAATCTGAAAATTTATAGGGAATATTTTAGTAGAAATCAAGCCGGGTAAATGGAAATTTGCTTAGTATGCAGGTTTGCTGCGACGGGGGTATTTACCCTTATATCATGTTAACGGACACAATATGTGAATTGTAACAGATTGTGTTAGGCCTCCAAGGTCCCGGGTTTAGGTCACCCCATGACATCTACGTTATTGTGCATTTTCTATATGGGAAATTCGCTTATGACGTAAGTTAAATTAAATCATATCCATTCAGTTTCGCTTGATTAAGAAGTTGCCAAATTCAACAGAAATCGATAATTTAGATCAGTGCACTCTGATGGTACTTCAATTTAACAACGTAAATTTTTCTTCTAAATCTGGAAACAACCATGGGTATAGAATGTGTAGGGCCTAAGTTATTTTTACGTTTAAGTATAGAACTAGTGTTTTAGTAACTATTAATGGAAAGGAACTCAAAAGGGAGGAAAAAAAGGTAAATTTAGAAGAGGACAATAGAAAAGAGGATTTTAAGCGAGTAAGGGAAAAACAAATAAATGTGAGGTGAAAGCCCTAGGTTGAAAAAAAGTTCTATGGCACTGTTTTGTCAAAGCCATGCTTTGCTTCAATCACGAGCAATAGGCATTATGTGAAAGTAAGTCAAGCTCTGATACTTAAATGATCCGTCTCAGATCGAGACCAGAACAAGGTTCTCGACCTCTCAGGCGGGTTTAGGTCAGATGATTGAGACTTAACAATTTATAGGTAGGCATTAAAGCATTTTTAGCCTTGTCCTTTGCCTTCAAATAATAAAGGGACATAAGAGGAGATTACAGTAACAGTTAAGTGTTGACTATTCAACAAAACAAGCAACTTACTCTCCCGCATCTGCAGAAGAGGCTGCTGTTTTACTGGAGTCTCCCTTATCTTTGCGAGGTCGACCAGCCTTCTTCACCGGACTCGCAGCCTTATTGATGTTGTTGGTCATAAAATGAGAGAAGATCTCAGTCTGCTTCAACAAGTATTCAAACCTTTTCCCTCGATCAGTTTCCTGAAATGGAAATTTCATTAATGAGATGGAGAAGTAATTTGGGTGCTAATATCTAAATGTTTAGTCATTACTTTTTGAAATTGTATGGTTGAGACGATTAAATGTTGAAAAAGTCTTTGATAGCTGCCTCACAATGGCTTTATTTTGATTTTAGAGCTGTTACCTATAAAACATAGTAGGTATCTTTAACACTGCAACAAGTAAGGCTTCTACAACTACACATGAAATCCAATATTCTACAATAGTAAGCTACTTACAATTTTTGTCTCAAAGTCTTCTGGCCTTCCTTTTGAAGAAACGGTCTCTACTGAAGACTCATTCTGAAAAGACATTAAACAATTAGTAAGGTAAGGTTGGTAATTTTTGATTAATCATCAATAACTAATGTATTTTTAACGAGACCCTAACACAGGTTTATTATTGGCATACATAGGTTTAGGTGTCCAACTAAACCTCCGCTTAGGGCTAAATTACAACTCTGAGGATTTTTATTCTTCTATCTCACCTGAAGATGGGACAAGATCCCAAATATTGTGATAACTTGGTTGTTTAACTTATTAACATTATGGACAATGTCTGCAATTGGCCTAAGCTAATCTTTTGAATGGTATGGGGATAGCCTAAGTTACTATACGGACGATTATTATTATGATTTAGGAACGATGCATCTAGCAATGCGAAGATTAATCTATAGGCCTAATAGAGGTACAAAACCTACAGGGTTCCCACAAATACATCTTTTTGTGGATTCCCTGAATTTCTCTGGACCTCCCCTGACCGTTTTCCGTAAATTTACTTGACCAGGGCATATTTTAGACACTGAGTTTTCTTAAAATTTAAAGTAGGTATTAATTAAAGTATATAGGTACAACTTATTATATTGTGAGTAAAAAACTACTTTTATTTTATTACTTATTTCACACGGTCTTTCCCATCCCTATAAACACCCTTAAGTTACTCTTCCTTTTAGAAAGTTTTCCATACAGATAATAAAAGTTATAGGTCTCATGGTAGGACCTAGACGAATTTACTTTTTTTTATTTATGAATAACAAATACTAGGTAATCTACATATTTTTCTGAACTTAAATGTATTCTCTAGCAGCAACTATCTCATTTCAACATAATTACCTACATATTGACACAACCTATATAAGTTTTTAATAAACTTCCCCGACTTTACCTTATTTTCAAAAAAATTTCCCTGACTTGCGGCCTCTTTAAAAATCTTTCCCTGACCTTCCCTGACCCTACCTAACCTGTTTCCCTGACTTTCCAGGTCCGTGGGAACCCTAAAATTGTGAAATACACGGCTATATATAGCGACGTCTGTCATCGGATCCACGGGATATGGGCTGGCACCCTCACTGTTAATACCTTTAGCATCCATCAGGTTGAACTAGAATGAAGGACGCTTTATAATGTGTAGCCTACGTCAATACTTGTAACAGATAATTAACATGGCGACCGTTAAGGTACTCGTATTGACCCCATTGACAAGACGGTTTATAAGTGCACAGATGACAGGTACGATTTACATGCGTGTACGTCAAAAACAGACAACCAGTCCGTGATCCCAGATCATTTACGTCAGGTGACGTCATTGACAGACGGCGTATCGGCAAACAGTTGACGAGTAACCCAGCGTTTTGATTAAGCTTAAAAGTTGTTGTACAAGCCTTAGTTAAGCTTAACTTCCAGTTTAAGTGTTAGTGGTTAGCTTAGGCCTACTTATGTTTTTTTTACATAGTAGGCTATGTAAACAGCGGTTCGTTCTTCTCATACCTCCCTCCTCTTCATGTTTTTACTTAGTGTTTAGCCACTGCAACTTAAACTCACCCAAACTAACTTAACGTATACCATGGGATACATTCAATTAATTACCGTCTTGTGAGTAACAGTATAAGCGTAAATATGTTTTAAGTAGGGATGGTCAAGTCTCGAAATTTCGGGAAATTTTCGGGAAATTTTCAATCTCGTTACACGAGACGAGATTACTTTTTGGCCGAGATTTTTATCGAGACGAGAATAAAAAAAAAAAAAAAAAAAAAAAAAATTAAAAACGCCTGCAGAAAGTCAATGCAATACCCGCAATACAGGAGCGTGTTGTAGTTGCGTTTCCTTTTCGAAGGCGTTCTTATTTAATTAATTCTTTTAATGTAAATATTACTTTAATTCTTTTAATGTAAATATTACTTTCATTATTTTAATAATATTACTTTAATAACATTTGAGAAGTTTTGTTAAGTGTAAGCAGTGTGAGGAATGTTTTATTACTATAAAAAAGTCAAAACAAGTAACTATTTTATAAAAATTAATATTGCTTTTATTTTATGATTTATTTTATTTTAGGATAAGTTGAAATCTATCCTAACTGATATCACCATGTTTCCTAATCGTAGGCATTTTTAATAAGTTAGGCGTGATTAATAAAAAAATGTTATGCTGATGTTATTTAATAAAAGATTGTAAATATTCTTGCCTATTATCATTATTTTAGTATTTAAACAGTCATCTAACAATGTTACAAAATCAGGTAAAAATTTCGAACGTGCATTTCCCGTTGTGTATGAGAAGAGAAATCTCGTCTCAATCTCGTCTCGAAATTTTATGAGAAATAAAAAATCTCGTCTCGTCTCGAACTAAAAATCCAATCTCGTCCATCCCTAGTTTTAAGTAAGACATTTCTTTCCCTATTTACTTTCCGTATTATATATGTTGCTGCCTAGAATGGAATAACTTACCCTACCTACCTACTGTTTCTGTTTGCTTAAAAAGTTAGATCTTGTCAGTGTTTCTATTTATTGTAGGCTACCTAAGTTTATTGTAAATTAATTTATTGTTTCTATTTGCTTTGATTTTGTTTCATATTTCAATTTTTGCATTGTTATTGCAAGTATGTAGGCTTAAGTTATTGTATATTTCTCGTTGACTGATCTGTTAGGTTGTTTCAATTTGTTGTAAGTTATTGTTGACCCTTACGATGCTAAATATTTTTTTGTAATTTTCCAAAAAATGCTAGAGTTAGGCCTATTTTACTTAGTATTGTTACTTAACTTATTTCGTCCGAAAAGTGCTAGGATTGCCACGGGTCAAATTCTAGTGTGCGAGAATAAAAAATCGGTACCGGTAGCCTAAAATTAAAATTTTTCATCTAAAAAGTGCTACTTGCCCAAGGATCGATATAAGTATTGGGCCTTGATCATGAGAGGATTTGAAAGAAACCATCACTGTTTCAAAACTATGCTTACAACCGAGTCAAACGATTTGCTCATTTAACCCTCCAACTGGTATAAGTCACGATCGCGACTCAATTACGTCACGCGATTACTGGTAAGATCGCGATCGCGACCCATTTGCAAGCGTTATGTAAAACACAGTTTACTCCGTTATTTTACGTTTAATATCTATGTATTTTATAAAGTATTAAAGAGCAAACACTGAGCAATCTAGTCATCATATGTTTAGTTGCATTTGTTGGAAAAAAGAATGTTGACAAGCCTGTATTTCAGTTGATTGTTTGTGTTCGCTTGCGTCGTCTAGTCTGCCGCATTTTGTTGTTAATCCTTTACTTTGAATGCTTTAAAATGAATATTTTAGTGAGTTGTGGTGAGTTTTTAACTTAAAATGAGTGAACTAAGTAATTCTAGTGCAATTAGGGTCTGTTTGAATGATAATGAACCAATATCTGACCTACAAAGTGATGTAGGCCCTATTCAGTGAAAATGAAAATGAAATTGATGACAGTGATGTGGGTTCAGATGTGTATGGTTCTGACATATCTTTGACTGATTTTTCATCTGGGAGTGGGGAATTATACTTTCCAAACAGTGAAGATGAGAACTCAGATACATCAATTACAGATTTTGGTCTTCCAAGACCTAGGCCTAGGCCTAATGAAGTAGGCTTGCGTAGGCCTTTGCCAAGTTCTCCAGAACACTCAGATCCAGATGACCCTCCTATCCCTGAGGTAAATAACCCTTTGAACCAACCTAATTATACTCTGCCAGGGCCTAGGATTAGCTCGGGTGTACACTGGGTTAGAGTTTACCCACCTGAACAAATGTTTGACGTCACAGAAAAATTTCAGGTACGAAATCCAGGTCCTCGAAATCTTCCTCCCCGGAATAGCAACCCTATTACATATTTCTATCTTTTCTTTACTAATGTTATCTGGGGTATGATGGTGAGGGAAACAAATGCTTATGCAAGCAGACAAATAGAATCAGCTATAAATGGAGGTACATTGACGCCAAACAGTAGACTAAGAAGGTGGAAAGAAACCTCTATCAAGGAAATGAGGTGTTTTATGGCCCTTCTTATAAATATGGGTCTGAATTACAAACAGAACATTGAAAATTATTGGTCAACTGTTAGATCTCAGAGATTACCTTTTTTTCCTGATAATATGAGCCTAGTAAGATTTCAGGCACTGAGATCAATGTTCCATCTTAGCTCTCTACAGTATATACCAAAAGGACAGCTCGGACATGATCCATGGTTCAAAGTGCGACATTTCTATGAGCTAATGAATGGATATTTTAAAGTTTATTTTATTCCAAACCAGAACATTTCATTAGATGAGTCTATGATAGGGATGAAGAATAGGTGTACATTTATAAAATATATGCCTAACAAAAGACATGCCCGCTTCGGGATAAAAAAATTTGAAGTGTGCGATAGTGACACCGGGTACGTACTTCATTCTGAGCTGTACAGTGGTAAAGACTTCCTTGAAAATACAAATCCTGATATTGCATTTACAGAAAAGGTAGTTTTACACCTACTAAATAAATGCTACTTACTCAATAAAGGATATCATCTGTAGGCCCTACACAGATAATTACTACACCAAATTACCTCTTGCCAAAAAGTTACTTCAACATGAAACTTACATTACCGGTACCGTCAACAAGCGGTCAAAAGAACTCTCCAAAAGTGTTTTAGATGCTAAATTACAACCCGAGACATCAATCTATTTTAGAAAGCAAGGAGTTCTGCTTGTTGGCTACAAACAAAAGAAAAAACGCAAGCCTGTTTACCTTATAACAACTGGATACCTCGCAGATGACCGTGTAGTAAAAAGTAAAAAAAGTGGAATAGAGGCTATAAAACCATCCCTAATAAATGAGTACAACCTTCATATGGGTGGTGTGGACAGCAAAGATAAGTCTATATATCACAGCACCTGCACAAGAGCTACAAAAAAATATTGGAAGAAGATCTTTGAAAATTTTTTGGACATGGCTCTCCTAAACAGTTATATTTTGTACCTGAAAAATACTGACCAGCCTATGACACGATACAACTATATGGTTAGCATCGTTGAAAGTTTATCAAGTGATGTTGCAGTGCCTAACCCAAGAGCTCAGATACCAGACGTTGGTCCTGGAGGAGATGCAGGACCCTCTGCGTCCCATGTATTGACAAGATTGCCTGGAGTACAACTCAGGGTGTGTGTTGTGTGTTCCACTCCACAAAAAAAGTCCCTGAGGAGTCATTTTTGGTGCCCTGCATGTAACTCAGGAGTGCACCCAGGCTGTTTTCACAAGTTGGAGCACTTTTGGAGAGCACCCAAGAGGGGTAAGAGAGCAAGGGAAAATAACGCTAACGATTCTGACTAGAATTCTTCTTGTAAACGGTTATCTCCTTTGTCCAAAGTTGATTCTAAGACTTGTATTTTTTATTTTGTAAATAATTTCAATTCACATATAGGCCTAAAACACAATATTTTTATGGTGAAATGAAGTGAGAAGCCTGGGGCAGTGGTTTCCAGCACAGGTCCAGCAGGTCTTTTGTTTGTGCGGAAAAAGTGCTTCGTGTTTCTGTCACATAGGCCTATTTGCTTTATAGACTTTTTTTGTTATATAAACTAGCAAGTGTTATACATAGTTGGAAAGACAATGAAACTGTGAACATTTTGGCTATCTTATTTTTTGATATAAGACATATTTTACCAGAGATAATATACTAAAAGAAGAAGAAACATTTTTTTTCAATATTGCTGTACCCACATAGGAGGAATACCTGTTAACATACTTGTAAGTACACCATTAAAACTATTATTTTTGAATAGGTTATTTCTTTCTGAAAAAATCTATATATAGCCTAATATGTATGTTTTTTGTACCATTTTATATGTTTTATGTGGTATTTACTAAATGCTTGCGCGGTGGTCAAAAAAACCTTACCAGTACGGGAAATTTTAATGACCAGTTGGAGGGTTAAACTCACATGATCGAAAGTCGTGCCAGCACAATATAACGTCGCTTACCTTGGCGCTTTTCAGATGAAACGCGAATAACAATCCCGGTATATCGTTCCATAGCACTTTTCGAGAAAAAGACGCACAATGATATATCGTTGCATAGCACTAAAAGGGTTAGGCATACCTATTGTTCTTTGCTTCTGCTTGGGTATTAATTGGCAATTTGCCATTGGCCTAGGACTAGGCTACTACAGGTTTTAAACCTAGCCAAGTTTGGTTGATAGGCAGCAGTATTTTGACAATTCCTAAATTTTCTAGCTAAGTCAGTTACGCTAGGTTGACGACAACCCTGAGCTAGGCCTAGCCTAACTGAATGTCTAACTTATTTTGGCAGGCTTCTCTAGATAACAAAAACGATACGGTAACCAAAGCAGAGGTAAGATAAACATGTTATTACTTACAGAGTTTTCAGCAGTATCACCAGTCTCCATCGCTTCTGGTTTTGACATATTAGTGTAACAGTAACAGTTTACCAAAATTTAACAACCACCACAAGTCCATAAAAGCCGCACCAAATAAAAGTCTTAAAATGGCGCATATGATGATGACAAAAGGCGAAACGCCACAAAACGGCGGCCACTCGGACTCGGATCGGACAGGCGGTCGCGGAGCGGAGGTGGCAGAGTTTCGAAGTAGGATTGGGATTTCGATTTGGTGATTTGGATGTGGACGATGTGGATCTGCTCCGGATCTAGTCTAGTCTAGTCTGGTAGTGGGATTTTGGCCATTTTGGGTCTTTGTCTCATTAGTCATTGAGAGAAAAAGATTTGGGGTCACTACCATAGATAAAACCATAGATTAAACATACTCCTCAAGGACTAATTAAATCCAAATTAATAATGAATATTTTTTTGGTTATTATCTGTTATGCTGTCTGTTTGTTGTTGTTATACTTTGTTAATGTTATTATCTGTTATTGTTGTTACGTTACTATCTTGTTGTTATTACTTTTTGTAGCAATGTTGCAATGATGTTTTGTTAAGTGGTATGCAGCTTCTCTTATTATTTCAAATGCAATTTTTATCTTTCCATTCTACTCATGTGCTTGAATATATATTATTTTGTAAATGGTGTAGCCGTTGGAATAAATAAAAATAATAAAAAAATAAAATAAAAATAAGGAGTCCTTGAGGAGTATGTTTTATCTATGTCACTACTCTCTGGTTAAACATTAGAGAAAAACAAGCCACTGTTATTGCTGGTTGGTTTTCGGTGTTTCGTGTTGTTAGGTTGGCCGTGTGATCGGTTGGTGGGATGCTGTCAAATTCCACATGCTATTTATTTCTATTTGGGGTTATCCGTTATTTCAAGGACTTGTATCAAAAACTTATTTAAGTTATTGCACGTTAAAACGTGCCGGTATTTAAAGTTATTTTGAAACATTATAAAATGTTTTTGGAAGTGATAGTCCTCTTTTAAAGCTATGATTTTTTTACAAGTATTTGGGACATCCCATAGTAGTCCCATATGTCCTGAGAATGTCTCGGGATATGTACGCTAGCCTCAGGATATCCCGCAAAATCCCGGGACGAGTACGAAATCCACAGGATATCCTACAATATACCGTAATGTCCCGGGATTTGTAAGTTAACCTCAGGATATCTTGTAAAGTCCCGGGATATGTACGAATGCCATAGGATATCCCAGAATGTCCCATGACAATCAATCAATCAATCAATCGTTGAGATGGGGACGCCACCTAGGTGCGTATTTTAACCCAAATATGAGTGAAGGATGAGTGTAGAATGGTGTGTGATGACCTGTGTAGCTTTGTTACTATGACTAAGATATAGGATATCCCAGAATGTCCCATGACATCCCGGGACATGTACAAAATCCACTGGATATCCTGTAATGTCCCGGTAACAAATTGAAGAAAAAAACTACTACCACTGATGAAATGTATATCTAAATTTAAATGTTCAACAAGGCCAATATAATAATTTGTTTTATTCACTAGCGCTTTCAGGAACTAGGTTTCCATCTTCAGGCTGTGTTTAAACTAGTACAAAAAGTAAATATTTACTTACTAAATTAATTTTAAACAAAGTTAAAACAGATGATTTAAAGGATATTGGAAAAATAAAAAATAATATTAGAAAAATTAATCTTTTGAATTTTATATTACTACAGTGTTGTTCTTGATGTAATTATTTTCAGTAATTCCGAGTTTATAATTGGGCCGTCTTCATTATTAACAAATAATTGTTAAATAATGTTTTTCCTATAAAATAAGATTCCCACGCATTAAGATGTTGAGGTTTTATAATTTGTTTTAAAAGTTTTGAGGTTTCCCATATTGAAAATATGTCTTGTTGGTACTGTGGCTAGCAAGGGCTGACTATACTTTACTCTAACTGACATATTACTACCACTGAGTTCAGGAAAACTAGAGTTCTATCATAGTTGTGTGAAATGTGTATTTAATTCTAACTTTAAATTAATAAAATAATCTAAAACTAATTTTAATCATATATAACAATCAATTATAACAGTGCTAATCTAATGGCAATTAAATAATCTATATTCAAATACCAGTATCCTCTCCAACTACCAGAAAAACAATTCAACTACTTGGGGCCTAAACAGATTAACAGAATCATATTATACAGTACGGTATACTGTAGTATCAAAAATATTTTAAGTATTGCGACCATTGCAACTGTCGGCTACTCTTTCACCACTTGAAAACACTCATAATCATCAAGCGCAGATAGCTCAGGAGATAAAGGTATGAGTCTCATAAGGCGAAGGTACCATCAGGTTCGAGACCCGTCTGGGCCAAAAACTTTTTTCTGGTTTTTTCTTCAAAATTTGTGTTTATTAACTATTTAATCAATTTACTCAACTGATAATTAAGCTTTTCATACTAAATCTATATTATTTTGTGTTTTTTATGTTCAGGCCCAGACCACCCTTTATCCCAGGACATCCCATAGTAGTCCCATATGTCCTGAGAATAACCTGAGGACTACCCTGGGATGACCTCGGATGTCCTACGGATATGCTGTGAGCTTATCCGTAGGACATCCCCGGGCGGGGACATTACGCATTCCTGCGGATATCCTGGGATATCCCAGGTTGACCATAGGACTACTATGGGATATCTTGCATATCCTGTCGCAATATCCGTGGGATGTCCTGAGGAGAAAGAGTGATGTCTGGGATGGGTTAGTTACACTCCATCAAGTGCACTAACATACAAAAACGGCCAACCTAACAACACAAAACTCTGACTGAAACAAAACCAGCAAAAACAGTGGTACGTTTTTTAAACACGGACTGGTGACTCCAGTTATTATTATGGTTAGGGTTCACTTAACCACGTATTTCAAAAAGCGAACAAAGTTGACATGTTTACATGGTAGGTAGTGCATACAGCTTTTTAAATAATGTCTTAGTTGATATTGTGTTTTTTATGCGATAGGCTTACTCGAGAAAAACTAAATTTTTAATATTAGTTTTAATGGAAACAAAATTATGAATTAGTTTTCAATTAATCATTTTTGTTGAGCTAACATGAGAAATAGTTGGCATATACCAATGAATTAACTTACCACCATTGATCATAAAGCAATGTGTGAATTTTCACTCACTGTACTAAAAGTTTGTTTTTAAGCTTCTGCAGATGATTTTTTTAATTGAAAACAAACTAACTGTCCAAGATTGTATTTTTGTTTAGTCAATTTCAAAATTCTATTTCAAACTCTGACTATTTTATTATTCATTGAAACAACTTACATTTTTTTCCAAAGTATTCACCATGTTTTGACAATGGCTGACAAACAATTGCTTTGGCAAGTTTTTCAAAGAGTGGACTTGGATAAAAGTGGTTACATAAGCTCTACAGAACTCCAACAAACACTGTTATGTTCTTGGGAACCGTTCAACCTAGAAACTTGTCGACTCATGATAAAAATGTTTGACAAGGAGAAGAAAGGAATGATTTCGTTCCAGGACTTTGGTGCATTATGGAATTACATCACAGAGTGGCAAAATTGCTTCAGAGGCTTCGACAAGGATAACTCCGGAAGTATCAACAATTATGAACTTCTAACTGCTCTTCAGACTTTTGGGATGAAATTTCCTCAGAAAATAGTAGATGTCATTATAAAACGATTTGAAAAAGGGGCCAAGGGGAATATATTCTTGGATGACTTCATTCACTGCTGTGTAATTCTTCATAATATTGCCAACAGATTTAAAAAACTGGACCCATATAATAGAGGGGAGATCAATGTAAATTATGAAGACTTTGTTGAGATGATTTTTGAATTTGGCCCTTGAAGCTGGAACAAATCAGTTTGTTATACAAACATGGTGTAAGTAAAAGAAATTATTGGTGTCCATATGGTATAAATTAATTATTGTAATAGTTTGAAATTATAATAGTATGTTTTTTTATGAAGTTCTTTTCAATTTGGTAAAAACTCCTATCTTTAAGAGGATATCACCCTTAACCTTTCAACATTCACATTTTTACATTTAAATGTCAAAACAAATGTAAACAAACATTGTTAGTGTTCTCATCACAGCCATGGAGACCAATCAATTTTTACTTTTAAAATGTTCACCTCAGAACTCTTAAAGCCAAAGGGGCAAAGCCTACGGTCAGTATTGAAATGTGAATAGTCCTATAATGGTCCTTGGTATGGTAGCTATATTTTTGTATAATTTAAGCCCAGTTGGTTCAGTAGTTTTTGCACCTATTAGTAATACACATACAGACAGACACCATTACATTTTAGCGAATTTCCCTATAGGGAAGTAGCTATTACCGTAGGTTTCATGGTAAGACTTAGGCCCGGGACCGATTTACTTTTTCATTTTGATGTCCCCAGAGGCCAAAAACACCATTCGTTCAAATTTTTATATATGTATATATATATATAGATATAGATATACCTATATATATAGATTTATATATATATGTGTCCGTGAACACGATAACTTGAGTAATTTTTATCCGATTTTGATGAAATTTGGTTTGAAGGTGTAAGGCAGGATAAACTTGAATGAGTTCGCGATCCAGCATGATCGGACCATGGGAACAGGATTTTATGGGGGGTTTTATGGGGTAAAAATTGGTTTTCCTCACTTTTGACCCTCAAAACACAACATTTTCCAATTTTTCTCTAAACCTTCTTAAAGAGCTTAAAAAAACAAACAATTCAGTATATCAAAGTGTTTTTGTACGGTTATTGGCTACGGAGAAAACTAAAGAAAATTTAAATTTAAAATTCCCATGTTATTCTTATGGAGAATATTGTAAAATGTTGTGGTTTGCTTGTTTATGGATATCTTTTGATCAAACTTGGCAAATATATTCATTTTATACTAAGCAATAATTATTTTACTTAAAACACACACTTTATTAGTTTCCTTGTAGCTCCCCGTGCGGTACCGGGTTAGAATAGCACCGCAGCCTTCTCGGGCTTGTCGTAAGAGGCGACTAAAAGGGTGACCGACGAACTCACTGGGAGTCCCTGGGAGTGCCCCTGTTGTGTTGCAGGGGTTGATGTGTGCTCTGCACTGCCGATGGGTTTTATCAGTGGGTCGTGAGAAACCAGCCACCTCGG